TCTCTCTCTCTTTCTCTGTCTCTGTCTCTGTCTCTGTCTCTCTGTCTCTGTCTCTGTCTCTCTGTCTCTGTCTCTGTCTCTCTCTCTCTCTCTCTTCTACCTTCCCCTCTACCTTCTCTCTCCTTCCATCCCTGTCTTCCTCTTTCTCCGCAAATGCACTGAGAATTGAAAGCTACACAAAGACAAAGAGATCTTGACTTTGTTTTTCAGTTCTCAACTTGCAAAGCACCATGTTGCAGGTGGGAGAGAAGGTCTTTTCTACAAATGGTCAGTCAGTGAATTTCCAGGCGATCAGTGAGACATGTGCCAAGGCAGGTGGTACTGTTGCCACCCCAAGAAATGCAGAGGAGAACTCCGCTATCATGAGTCTTGTGAAGAAGTACAACTCATATGCCTACCTAGGCCTGGCAGAAGGGAAGACACCTGGGAAATTCTACTACCTCAATGGAAGCCCAGTGAACTATACCAACTGGTACTCAAGTGAGCCTGCAGGTAAAGGGCAGGAGCCTTGTGTGGAGATGTACAAAGATGGCACCTGGAATGACAAGAGCTGTCTGCAGTACCGCCTCACTGTCTGTGAGTTCTGAGCCCCTGATCATGGCCTGATTCACCAGGACAAAGGGGGCCTTGACCTCATTGACCTTGACCTCTCCTATCTCCCTTCTGGTCACTTGTCTGACTCTTCTAGGAAACTCTTTTTTATGTCCCATTCTTTGCTTTGGACTAATTATGTCTCCCTAAATTGATGGCTGCTAAGTTGTCTCTCCCAAACATAGACAATAGAACAAGGGATAACTTGGAACCAGAGGACCAATCTAGGCTGTGTTCTAACTTACTTTGCCCTCTAGTAAATCACTTAACCCTAGTCTTGATGCCTTAATTTTCTAATCTGTATAGTAGGGATTAGATAGATAGATAGATACATAGAGACATATATGATAGAGAAAGATATGAAAGAGAGAGATAGATATAGAGATGCTTGCATCTGTGATTCATCAGTGTAAGGATTTCCTGAAACAAAACTACTTTCCCCCAAAGAGGTGGAAATTAATTTCTAAGTTACCTAAAGTACAACTCATTTGTAACTTACAGCCTTAGAGAGTTATTGAGGGTACTGAGAAGTTTAGTGATTTGTCCACAGTCCCTCAGCTTTTTCAGAAGCAAACTTAATTAAGAATCTTCTGGGCTGCAAGGCTCTATTCATTCTGCACACAGTCTCTCAGGTATGATACTAACATCATATATTTTTATAAGACTTAATTTTTTCAAAGTGTTTTCACATTATGGACTGATGCAAGTCTCCTGTGACATAATGTGTTCACTTCCCAATAAGAAGCCTGGGTGGAGAAGATGATAATCATTCTGCAGCCACAAGACAAGATAAAGCCACTGTTGAGTCCTCTTCCAGGAATACATTTCTCTTGCCACTTTCTTCCACTTACTCAAATCCTACCTGTCCTTCATGGCCCACCTTGATTCCCACTATTCTCATAAAAGCCTTCCCAACCGTAATCTCACAGTGATCTCCCCTTTCTCTGCACTCCTGAAGCACATATGACTCTGTACCCCTCAAATTCATCCTCATTGTCTGGTAATGTTAATAAATGCTTCCAGTATGTATGTCTGAAATCCTTTATTTGATTGTAAGTTTCTGAAGGGCAGGTAATTTTTATTCCTTTATAATCTTCACAGTGCCTAGCACTAGGATAGGCAACGGGAAGACAGTCAATAAAGACATATTCATGAAGACATTCATGAAAATTGATTAATCCTTATTGATCTATGCTCTCATTCCATCTACTCTAAGCAATTATCCTGGAGCAACTGATCAGCATTTCTGATTTCTCTCACAATACCCTTCTGGAGATCTGAAGCTTACCAACACACCAAGAATGCCATCCTTGGCAATTAATCTCTCTGTACCTCAGTTTTCTTATCTGTAACATGAAGGATATAAACCCCATTTAGTAAGGCAGATCCTTTAAGCTCCAATCCAAAACCTACCATCTCCAGGAATTGTTCACTAAATACTACAGTTGGTCAAACTTATAAACTCAAAGAATTTTTGAGGTGCATATGAACTTAGAGATTATTTCATCCATATCCTTCACAGAACAAATAAGAAAACTGAGGTTCAATGAGATTAATTGATTAGATAGGTAACACACTATAGAATATAGATCATTGGACTTGAAACCAAAGGTCCTGAATTCAAGCATGGGTTCTACCACCTATAACCTTCAAAACTTTAAGCAATTCACTTAACTTTTCCAAAACTCAGTTTCCTTAAATGTTTTTTTTAAACAGAGATAATAAATAATGACTGCTCTGAGGCCATCTCATACTGTTCTTATAATGATCAAATTGAAACATCAACCCTGGTACAGAGCTCAGTAGCCACCCCGAAAAAATATCCTCCCTACAATATATCCCACAAGAGGTCAACCAGTGTTTGCTTGACTATTTCTAATGAGAAGGAAAGAACTCACCTCTTTCCAAGGCAGCCCAACCCACTTTTTGATGGCTCCAATTGTCAGGAAGTTTTTTTTTTTGTTTTGTTTTCCCAACACCAAGCCAAAAGTTACCTCTTTGCAGCCTATGTGCATCACTATGGATTCTACCCTCAGAGACCAAGTAAAATAAATCTAATCTCACTTCCACCTGACAGCCCTTAACAGCCATCACAGCCCCTCTAAGTCTTTCCCTTCTCTAGACAAAGAGATCCAGGTCCTTCAACCAATTGTCATATAGCTTGAACTTGAGGCCTTTCAAATGAGATAAGAAAGTGACAGTTACTATAACGGGCTGAATATAAGCTATCCATGAAAACAAAATCTCTTTGAAAAGATATATAATATCTATGTACATATATATGTGTGTGTGTATAGATATGTGTGTATAGAGCTATGGATATATAGATACTCATATATATCTGTATCTATGTATACACACATATATATACACATACATACATGGATATATATATATACAAACATATGTGTATACATATATGTGTGTATGTGTGTGTATCCATTAGGCAGCTAGGTGGTACAGTGGATAAAACACCAGCCCTGGAGTCATAAAGATTCTTTTCCCAAGTTCAAATCTGACCTCAGACACTTACCAACTGTGTGGCCCCGGGAAAGTCGCTTAACCCTGTTTGCCTCAGTTTCCTCATCTGTAAAATGACCTGGAGAAGGAAATGGCAGGCCACTTCAGTATCTCTGCCACAAAATCCCCAAATGGGGATACAAAGAGTGAGACACAATCGAAAAACAACTCAACAGCAAAATATACGTATATCAGTTTGTATGTGTATAAACTCCCCCCTCAAAAAAAAATCTCAACCCCAGCTATCAGTGAGCCATTTTTGGTGGGAAAGGGCAGCCCATTATAGTACATGTCAAATATTTTTGTAACCATAAAGCATGATATGATATAAACATGAGCTATTATTTTTGTCTAAAATGGCCATTTTTGGTGGTAGAGAGAGAATCCTGTGTTCCATGATCTTTGTGTCACTCCATCCTTGCCTCTCCTTCTTCTGGACTCCTCTAGCACCTATCACCCAGACCACACAGCACAGTCCTGAATTGTTCTCTTGTTACTTCACGTGCATAAGTCTTATTTCTCTAGCTATAATATGAGCACTTTGAGAGCAGATATCATACCAAAGGAAGTTTTACTGTGTTTCTCTCGTACTTTAGCCTAAGGCTTTGCCTGCATTAGCTTCATCATTGATTAGGACATCATATGTCAGAGCCTGGCAACTAGAAGAGAAGGAAAGGGACAGCCAGGGTGAAAGTAGCAAGTCTCCTTCAAGAGAGGGAAAAAAGAGACCAATTCCAACATGATAGAGTGAAAAGAATACTAGACTAGGAATCAGGACACTTGGGTCTGCTTCTGATGTAATATGGTGACCTTGTACCAAGTCAGTTCCTCTTTCTGGGCCTCAGTTTCCCCCTATTTAAAATGAGTGGGTTGGACTAGAGCTCTGCAAACTTTTCAGGACTACTGAAATGTGAGTTACTGCTATTCCCCGTAAGTTACTTCCAGCAAAGTAGAATAGAAAGAATACTTCACTACAAATCAGGAAATCTGACAGAACCATAACTAGCAGTTTTGACATTTGCAAACGTGCAGCTAAAAGGTGCGCTCAAAATCCACTATGTAACTCAATTCATAATGTGAAAATGTTTGTTAAGTTAACAGGGATGACAAAAGATGAGAACCGTCAACGTTGGAGGGGTTGCAGTAAGACAGGCATATGAGTACATCACCAATCAAACTGTGAACTGGTCCAACAACTGTAGAAAGCAATTTGAAATTACTCTAAAAAATGACTAAAATAGCCACATTCTTTGACTCAACGATCCCACTGTTAAACATCGATTACCAAGGAGGTAAGACAGAAATAAAGATCCCATATGTGCCAAAATAGCAACACTGTTTGTAGTTTCAAGGAACTAGAAACAACATCAATGCCCATCGATAGGTAAATAACTAAACAAATTGTGGCATATAAATGTAATGGAATATTACTGAGCTATAGGAAATTATGTATTTGAAGAATACAGAGAAAGAAGGGAAGGCTTAAAGAACTGATTAAGAATAAAGTGAGTAGAACCAGAAAAAAAAAAACAGAGATAATCACAACAGCAGCATACGTGGAGAGAAGGACAACAAATTGGGATAATCATCATGTGGTTTTAATGACTTTAATGACTAGTGAACCTCAAAAAAAGACAAGCATATATTTTCCTACTTTGCAGATGTGAGGGACTATTGGTGTGGAAAGTCGCATAGAGTGTTGGACTTATCTGATGTGTTGGTAAGTTATGAAATGTTTTCCCCCTTTTTATTCTTTGGTACAAAGAATGAAGGGAGAAAAGAGAAGGGTATATTCAGAAATGATGGTGCTATGAAAACAAAAGCTATCCACATTTTTAAGTTAAAAAATAAAGAAAATAAATTTGAGGGTCTTGTTTTTGTCGTTTTGTCTGAATCTATAATTTCAATGGGAGGGAGAATTCCAGGTATGGGAACTCTGTAGATACAGCACAGCCACTAATCTGTAATGTAGAGTCTTGGAAAGGTGCCTGGGACAAAGAGAGATGAAATGACTTGCCTACACTCAAGTAGCTGGTAAGTCAGAGTTAGGACCTGAACCAAGGCCTCCTTGGCTGTCAGGCTGGTCCTCAGACCACTATGCCACACTGTCTATAATAATCAAGACAAATTCAATTGAGTTTCAAAGTAAATTAGTTACTATAGAAATTATCCTTTGCAACCTCTACATTTCAATGTCCTAGGACAAAGCCACAGACACCCCAACCCAGTTCTGGTTCTGCCCTGGCTTTCCAATTCTGCCACCCACTAGCTGTGTGACCTTGGGCAAGTCAGTGATGGGAAGGATGTTTGCACTTCGTATTTCAAAGTGATGTTGTGGACAAAAGCCTTCGGTAAATCATAAAGTGTTACGTATACAAAAGCAATGATTTTTATGCCAAGATCATAAATAGTACTATAAATTCTTGCACCATATAGTCACTAGAGACTTCCCTAGATATTCTAGCTGTAGCATTGAATTCCTTCAATGTTTTCTGCCCATGAAACAGAAGCAGGTAGTTTATTTTGTCTAAGCTTTAATTATATTGATTTAGGGATGGGAGGGCCCTTTTCTCATGCTAACAATTCAGGATACTTTCCAGAGTTGGAACTACAGAAAACAGAGAGCACTAAATAACTTCAATCAATACAGGACATAGAAGTCCTGAACTGTTCACCCTGGAGAGAACAGAAGGATAAAAAAAAAAGGAGGTGAGTACTGGGAGGGGGGGAGAGGAGAGAAGAAGAGGGATAGATAAAGAAAGCAGATTAGAACATTTTGATTCACAGCCCAGTTCTTAAGGGTTTCACATTTATTGATGGGTGTGTCTGAGCAAGACTATAAGGAAGTCTGAGTATAGTCCTTACTGCAGATGAACTGTCAAGTATAGTCTTAATCCATTGCCAAAGCCTTGGGGGTAGTCAGGAAAGAGTCTAATGCTACAATGTGAGTTGAGGCCCCTGAGAATATCCAAGGTCAAGGGGTCTCCATTGTAGAGCCCAACACAACCCTACTCTTTCCAACAACTATGACAGATAGATCACAGATTTAGAGATACAAGGGAACTTAGATGTCACCTAGTCATGAATCATAAATTTAGAGCTAGAGCCTTGAGGCCCCTAAAGCCTACTCTCTCCTTTTACAAATGAGTAAACTGAGGCTGGGAGAGGCTAAGTGATAACAGTCACATAGTTAGTAACTTTCTGAGGCAGGATTTGAACTTGGGCTAGTTCCACTGAGACAGTCCGTGCATTGTAGAGTCAACAGGAGTCAGGAAAGGAGGGTGACGGACTTCTCCACTGACCATCTGTGGATTTTACAACTCAAAAAAAAAAAAGCATTTTTGTTTAGGTCTGTACTGAGAAACGGCCATGGGAGGAGAAAGACGCAAAAGAGAGAAAAACAACAACAACCACAACATTGTTGATTCAGGATGCAGAAAACTACAGCACTGAATGCTTAAATCCCCATCCTCCCCCCTTTACTGACTCACACCTTGAAATTGAGAGGAGGGGGGGAA